ACAGCGCCAGGCCTCCGGACGCCACGCCCAGGCACGGGCGGGCAGTGCGTTTATTTCGGGAGACACGTATGGATGAGCTGGGACCGAGCTCTCCCAGCTGAGAGGCCCGGGTTAAAAAGGCAGGGAGATAAGCGTGTCAGCGGCACCCACTCAGCGCTGTGCCGTGCGGGGCGCACATTCCTGCGGGCGGGGCCCCGCTCCGCTGACCTTTCGACCCCAGTTTCCCTCCCCGAGCTCCGTTCTCCTTCCTCCTGCTTGTTCTGCATTTGGGTGTTTTTTTTTTTAACCCTTTTCAAGGGCTGCTCAGTGGACCCACAGACCTCATGTGCGGAGTCCTCCAGCCTGGCCCTGGGTCGGCTGGGCCTCTCGTTGGGGGAGCGGGATCCCCGGGCACAAGCTTTCGTCCCCGTTGGATGGTGGAAAAGACTCAGAGGATGTGCACAACCTCTCAGAGATCACAGAACGTGACCTAAAGGAGCTGGGCCCGGGCAGTGTGGCTCAGCGGTTGAGCGCCATCCTATGAACCTGGAGGTCATGGTTGGATTCCTGGTCAGGGCACAGGCTCTCAGTGCGGGGCGTGCAGGAGGCAGCTGATCAATGAATCTCTCTCATCACTGATGTTCCTGTCTCTCTCTCTCCCTCTCCCTTCCTCTCTGGAATCAATAAAAATGCATCTAAAAAATAAAAATGAAATAACGGAGCTTGGGGAGAAGCCCTGGCTCTGAGTCCGCGTCCCACAGGCCCCAAGGCCGCTCCAAGGGTGGCCAGGCGGTCTCAGGGGCGGCGGGCGGGTGGCCGGGGCTGGTCATCGTGACCTCACAGGGGCTTCCTTTTCCGCGGGGTTGACTCAGTGCCCCTGCAGCCCGCGCGTCTCCGTGGCACAGGGGTGTCTCCCTGACCCCGGAGGGACGGGTCTGGGGTTTCACAGGAGGATGCAGGGTCTTGTTTTGATTTGATTTGACACGAAATGAAATGAAACGCAGATCTTGGCGGCGGCTGGAGCTTCGGGGCGGACAGCACACTGACCTGGTCGGAGGCGTAGGCCACCAGCTTCTCCATGACGGCGGCCTCTGTCAGCCCCGGGCGGGCGGCCTGCAGGCGGCGTGTGGCTCGGCTCCGGGCGGCCAGCAGCG